CATTCTGAGTACCCAGTCTCAGGTCCTGACACTTGTGAGCGAATCACTGGAACAACTGAGCTGTTTCCCCAGCTACACACCATAGTGCTCACGTCTCAGTGGATATCAGAGCAATCCACAGACATCTGAGAGGGATGCTCAAGAGTCTGTCTTCAAGTAAGGTTTAATCATCAGCTTCTGGGCTGGAGAGATGGCTCAGTGGTTAAGAGCATGGTCTGCTCTTCCTGAGGTCCTGAATTCAACTCCCAGCAATCGCATGGTGGCTCACAACCATCTATACTGGGCTTTGTTGCCATCTTCTGGCGTGCAGCTGTACATGCAGAGAGAGCACTCATGTAAAATAATCTTTAAAAAGATTTATTTAAAAAACCACCAGCTTCCTCCTGAATTATAACGCATCTTTAAGGGGTGGACAAAGTGATTCCCTCCAAAGAGCTTACACAGTGTGTCTCAGTGCTCACTTGCTTCCACTCAGGCTCTCTCTAAAGTCATGCCTTCACATATAAGCCTCATTACCTGCCAGCTTAAAGCTTGCATTTGTCTTCATCTCAGTCCACATCTCTAGGGAGTTGAGCCCAGAAGGTGGTCACTCACTAGTGTCATGAAGACTGTCCATCCCAGGCTCATTATCCAAATGCATGGTCAATATTTTGACTTTAGTGACATCAAACTTCGCTCTCCCCAAGCAGCTCAAATAGTCCCAGTCTGACTCCCTGGTGAACAAAAGCCCTCTGAGGAAGCTACCTCTGTAGCAACATTCCTGCAGAGGGCTCAGCCTTGGCTGGTTAGAACTTTGTGATTCTGAAGAAAAGCAACATTGTAAGTCAAAAGCCAGGCTTAGCTTTGAGATGTCTTAACCCTCTCAATAGCCAATGATGTTAACTCTTTTTTTTTTTTTTTTTTTTTTTGACAGGGGTTCTCTTTGTTAGCCTTGGCTGTTCTGGACTGGCTTTGTAAACCAGGCTGGCCTTGAACTCACATAGCTCTGCCTACTACCTCTACCTCCCTGGGTGCTGGGACTAAAGGTGTGCCCCACCACGACGGTCTTGATCTTAACTCTTTTTCTCACCTAACACTCCCTGATTACCAAACTTTTCAGAAGCCAGACACAGGTAGTCTTCATCTGTGATCCCAGTATTTTCGAGGTTGAGGCAGGAGAATTGCCACAAGTTTAAAGCCAGCCTAGTATTAGCAATATCTATAGAGACTCTGTCTCAAAAAGACAAAGCAAGGGGCGTAGAGGATGGCTCAGCAGGTAAGTGTGCTTATTGTGAATGAAGAAACAAAACAAAACAAAAAACCAAAAAGCAAAAACCAAAAAACCAAACCAACCAACCAACCAACAAAACCGCACATGTTGAAATCCTCAGCACCCACATAAAAGCCAGGCAGCCATACCTGCGTGCTCCAGCTCCTGGGTAGCAGGGAGGGCAGAAATAACTAGAGACCTCCCTGATTAATAACTAGGCATACTAATTTACTTTCTATTGCTGTGAGAAAAAAAAGTGGACTAAAGCAGCTTGGGGAGGAAGGCATTAGGTTTACACATCTTCTCAGCCACACCCATCGCTGAGGAAAACTCAAGCCAGGCTCCTGACCCAGAGGCTGGAACTGAAGCAGAAACATTAAGAACCCTGCTTCCTCCCCCCCCCCCCCCCCCCCCCCCCCCCCGCTTGCTCGCCTCCTTTCATATCCCAGGACCACCTGCTTGGGGGGGGGGAAGCACCTCACACAGTGGGCGGAGCCCTCCAATGTCAATCACTAGTCAAGAAAATGCCCTGCAGATTTGCCTAAATCTGATGGAGTCGTTTTTTCAGTTGAGGTTCCCTCTTCTCAGATGACCATAGCTTATGTCAAGCTGACAAAAACAGAACAACACTAGCAAGCATACCAGGCTATTGGAAACAGCAAACTTCAGGCTTAATCAGAGACCCGGCCTCACACAATAGGCTGCAAAGTGCAGGGGCACACACAGTACAGAACTATGAAGAACTAAATCTTGACATTTGCAGGAAGATGACTGTAACTAGCAATCATTGTATTAAGACACAATAAAGCAGAACGAGACAAACACTGCATGCTTCTGCTCTGTATGTCACTATGGATGTGTCCGTGTGTGTGTGTGTGTGTGTGTGTGTGTGCACACAACTTCTTATAATCTAGCACTAAGCTGAGCCAAACTCTAGACTTCTGGACAGTGATTCTACAAATGAACAGGCTTTGGGTAAGGTCTGAAAGGTTTGCCTGCTGGGCTGGAGCCCATCTCTGATGCTGCACATTTATTGGTAAATGTACTGCTTCGTGAATTTCCGTTCCTTGATGAGTACAGAAATTTATGTATCTCTTCCAGGCTGGACCATGTCGTTTAAGGTAACAAATCTGTGTTCCCTAACCAACAGTATCTCATACTTACCTCTTTGTTGTCCGTCCAACTTTTCACTCATCGGGCTCAGATTAAATGTCATTTCTTCAAGGAGAGCTCTTTTTCAGCATAGATGACAGGGCCCTTTGTCTGGCGTTCGGCACCTGCAGCCATCATCCCGGCCACGATCACTGCCTGCCTAGCTTCAGCTCTAAGCCACTTGCTTCACATTCGAAGTTGCCAGCAGTTAGTTAGGTAAGAGATGAGACAGGACAGTGATTCCTGCTGCCTGTGAGCGTGGGGACCTGAGGAAGTTCGGTGAGTTATTTTCAGGAATGAAAACTCAGTTTATGTCTGAGTTTCAAGCTGAAGCTCAACACACTTTAAAAATCCACAGCACACTGTGGCATACAGGAGCAAGGGTATAAGCAGAAAGCTCCCTTCCACAGCCAACTGGCTGAGATGTGGGGCGCTTGAAACCTCCAGCTGTCTCAGGAAAACAGCAGAGGTCAGGTTCTGATGAGCGCTTGTTTTGTTTTTGTTTTTGAGACAGGGTTTCTGGGTTTCTGTCCTGGAACTCACTTTGTAGACCAGGCTGGACTTGAGGTGCACCTGCTTCTACCTCCTGAGTAGATTAAGGTATGTCCCACCACACCAGCTCCAGATGGGTGTTTTTGAGCGGAAATTTTAAGATGCTCCATTATTTACCTGTTAGAGTTTTTGGAGCAGCTAATTACTTTCTAGAAGGATGTAGTTGTGGTGGTTGGAATAAAAAGCCCACCCCCCACCCCCCGCACCATTATGGGGTGTGGCCTTGTTGTAGTAGGTGTGGCATTGTTTGAGGACCTGTGCTGGTGGACGGCAGGCTTTGAATCTCAGATGTGCCACGTAGAACTCTCGGGTCCTCCGCTCCTCCAGCACATCTCCTGCGTGCATGCTCCCCACCATGATTACAGACTAAACCTCAGAAACTGTAAGCCAGATCCAATGAAATGGTTTCCTTTGTGAGAGTTGCCGTGGTCAAGGGGTTCCTTCACAGTCTTCACAGCCACAAAACCTTAACTAAGGCAGCAGGTAAAGCAAAACAAAGACATCTGGCAGTGTCATAGAATCTCTGCTTTCCCGTGTCAAAGGACAAAATTACACCAGTTAGCTGAAGGGTTTTAATTGGCTTTTTCTTCTGATTGTAAAATTGGGCCATACTTAATTGCACAAAATTGTGTGTGTGTGTGTGTGTGTGTGTGTGTGTGTGTGTAGATTAAGGCAGAAGCTGCTTCAACATCAAGCAATTCAAACAGCTGTTTCTGGGAAGGTGGAGCAGTTTCAGTTAGTGGTACAGAACCCTAAACCAAACCAAAACAAACCAAACCCAAACAAAACAAAACAAAACAAAACAAAACAACTTCCTATAATTTTTATTCAGCACCTGCATTCTTCATAATAATGCTTTCAATCCTAAAGGTATTTAAGAACCCTTTAAAGATTTAAAATTTTATTTTGAATTACTGTATATGTGTGTCGGGATTGGGTATGTGCTCATGAATGCAGATGCTTCCTGTGGAGGCCTTGGACCCAGAGGAGCTGGAGTCTCAGATGTATGTGTGTGCGTGTGTGGGGGAGCAGTACCTGTTTTTAACTGCTAATCATCTCCCCGGCCTCACAAAAAACACCCCCCTTTTAAAATGTGTTCTAGGAGCAGGGCAGTTGTGGCACATACCTTTAATCCCTGCACTCAGGAGGCAGGGGCAGGTGGATCTCTGAGTTTGAGGTCTGCCTGGTCTAGAGAGAGTTCTAGGACAGCCAAGGCTACACAGAGAAACAAAAAGAACAAAAGTGTTGTAGGGCTGGACACAACAGTACACACCTGTAATTTCAGAATAGGAGGGATTTGAAGCCAGGTTAGAGAATGGTGGTGCAGGCCTTTAATCCAAGCATTGAGAGGCTGAGCAGGCAGATCTCTGTGAGTTCAAGGACAGCTTGGTCTACATATCAAGTTCCAGCCCAGCCAGAGCTACACAGTGAGGCTGTCTCAAAAAACGAAACTGGAGCAGGGACTGGTGGAGGATGCCTATAATCCCAGAGCTCAGGGAGGCAGAAGCAGTTGGATCTCTGTGAGTTCGAGGCCAGCCTGGTCTACAAAGCATCTAGCCAAGGCTACACAGAGAAACCCTGTCTTGAAAAAGAGAAAAGTAAAACAAAACTGAGTTTAAGGCCAGTCCCCCACATACTGTCCTGGCTTTCCTGGAACTTGCTAAGTAGAGGTTGGTCTCGAACTCATTGAGAACCTCCTGCCTCTGAGATTAAAGACAGGCTCCACCAGGCCCAGCCGGAATGGAAGCGTGTGTGTCCACCTGAAAAGCTCCCAAATCACAGCTGTCCCTGCGGTGAAAACTTTGGTTTGAGCCAAAAGAGTAGTCTGAGGACCAAACGGGGAGAAGTGGTGGAGTCCCACTAGCTCAATCCCATATAGCAGGTGCCTAGCAAACAAGTCACTGAAGCCCCCAGTTTTCCTGGGCAAATTCTGGCTCCACTCCCAGACTCGAGCTTGGGCAAACTGAAACACAAGGCTGGGCAGCGCCGGTGCATTTGGCTCTGACCCCGTCAGGCGCCAGGAGGGCGTGACGCGCTGCCCGCACGTCTCCTCCCTGTCCTTTGGTCTCCGCGAAGCGCGCAACGACTCCCACGTCCGCGGTTTCAGTCCGGTCCGTGGGGAACGCGAGCGGGACCCCGCCGGGCCCGGGGCTGACGGAGCGGTGAGTGGAGGATGCGCGGGCCAGCCTGAGCTAAGCCGGCCAGGCGGAGCCCGAGCGGCCGCCCGGGCGCGGCCAGGATCCGGGTAGCCTCGGGGCGGCCACATCACCCGCGCTCGGGCCCGGCCGACTGCGCGCGTGCGCGGGGCGGGGCGGGGCGCGAGTGGCCGCGGGCGTCGGGCGGCTGTCAGCGGCGGCGGGGAGGCGCGGCGCTCTGGGCCGGGCTCACGGACCCCGGGGCATCGCCGCGCTGGGCTGGCCGCGGACCGAGACCGGCTAGGGGTGGGAGGGCGCTGGAGCCTGGGCCGGCGGGACCCGAGGCCGCCCGCCGCCGCGCTGGGGCTCCGCGTCCCGCTCCGGAAGCGGTGGCCAGGGGGCGCGCGCCAGGGATGGAGGAAGGTGAGCTCGGATGCAGATGCTGCGAGGCGGGCTGCGCACCCCTGGAGCCGGCTTCGCCGCTCAGCAGCGTCGCCACCCAGTTCTTGGCTTTATGAATGTACAGGAGGTCTCGATTTAAGAAGCCCATTTATGGCGAGAGCTGGTGTGTGTTAGATTACATTCTTAGCTATAGTATACCGGTGTCATCTTTTTGTAAATGGACAGTTGATGACTGATAAGTCGTTCAGCATACGTGATACTTATCCCTCCAAAATGTGGCTTTTCGCATATTCATCAGGTCTTGTAATTGTCACCACTATCCAGATCATTTTTTGTACTCTCCAAAAGAAACCCTGAGCCTGTTAGTTGCTACCCACTCCTCTTCTGGCTCAACCCATTGGAAGCCACTGATCTTTCTGTTCTATGCATTTACCCTTTGTGGACACTAATGGAATCATACAATATTTGTGGTTCCCCACCTCCTCCATTTAAAGACAAGATTTTGGCTCTTCCCTTAGGGAGCTTGTGTAATTCCGGCTAATTTGAATTCATGGCCTTCTTGCCTCAACTTCCCAAGTGATGAGATCACGCAGGCCTGTGCCACACCCCGCCAATGTGTGTGTGTGTGTGTGTGTGTGTGTTTGTGTGTTTGTCTGGCTTCCTTCACATAGCTTAATGTTTTCAATGCTCATTCATGTATTATTTCGTGTGTCTGTTCTGTACTTTCTTACAGCTGAATGAATAGGTATTTGGTGTGTCACTACCGCATTCATTCACCAGTTAACAAAATTTCATTGTTTTCCACTTTTTAGCCATTGGATATAATGCTGTTAGAACATTCATGGATGTACGTTTTCAGTGCCCCGGAACACATACCTAGGTGTGGAACTGCTCATGGCTTAACATTTTTGAGAAACTTTCAGATTTTAGTCAAAGTTGTTGTTGCATTTTATATTCCCACCAAATAGTTTATGTGGGCTGCAATTTCCTAAATCACCAATACTTGTTGTTATTATTATTTACTGTTTTTAGCCACCCTAGTGGATGAGACGGTATCTTTTCCTAGTTTTAAGCTGCATTTAGACCAGGAATAAAAAGTCTTTCCTATGCTTATTGGCTATGTATGTGTCTGTTTTGGAGAAATGTCTGTTTAGATCCTTGGCCCCTATTTTTGCTATTTTATTTGCTTTTTGTTATTGTTGTTGCTGAGTTTATTATTCATGTATAAGCAAAAGTCTGTATTTTGAATTGGTATTGGTCCAACATGGGTAAAATTTGATTAAGTTGCATTTGAATCTTTGAGAACACTTTATCTTTTACCTGGTCATTCCTGGGCATTTTATTTTCTTTAGTTTTATTTTATTTTGCTTGTTTGTTTTTGTTTTTTTTCAAGACAGGGTTTCTCTGTGTAGCCTTGGCTGTCTTGGACTTGCGTTGTATATCAGGCTGGCCTCCAACTCAAGAGATTTGCCTGTCTCTGCCTCCCTGAGTGCTGGGATTACAGGTGTGCGCCACCACACCTGGCTTATTTTTATTTTTTATTTGTTGGCTTTATTGAGAAAAGTAACAGGAGGTATGGTCCTGGGTCCTGATGAGACTTTAGTTGCTGTTTTAGTATATTCTTTGTTAGTTTGAAAAGATTCACTTGTCATTAACTGCAAGTAATTTCTGTTGAATGTTAACTATTTTACTCAAACAGTACAGTGAAAGGGCTTTCCTCCTTCTGTTTGCAGCTGCAATATATGTGGATCCTAGAGTACAGTCCCTCTCATTCTGTAGCCCCGGCTGGCCTGGAACTCCCTGCGTAGACCAGGCTGGCAGCTTGCAGCCATCCTCCTGCCTCTGCTTGCCCAGTACTGGGACTGCAGGTGTGCACTGGCTTGCCCAGTGAAAAACATTTTGCTGGAGCTGAGTTAGGAGCCACCTGGAACTGAACAAATGCTGCTGTGTGCTTTCTGCATGGTTGATTTTCTCAGTGTTTGCAAATCCAGCCTCAGGTCTCTCTTTCAAAAATTACTAAAAGAGATGACATTTCTCTGAACTCCAGTTCTTTTTTTTTTTTTTTTTTTTTTTTTCCATTGCTACTAAGGAAAAAAAAAATATTTAATGAAACTTGCATGGTGGAGAAACACTTCATTCAAGACCATTCTAGCAGTGTAAGGACATGACGGAGGGATTGGCACTGGGGAGAGAGGCTGCAGTTAACCCCGAGTATGGTGTGGAGGGGCAGGAATTTTTAGGTGAGGGGCAGGGGCAGTGGATAGAAAAGTGCTAAGAGGAAACATCCCTAGAGAGGGGGATTCTGGGTAAATCATCTTGACAGGATTCCTGCTGAAGACAGGCCTGGGCTCTGGGACACCAGGGTGAAGGATATAGACCTGCTTCAGTCACATACCTGGGGAGGGGCTTCTAACTAACCTGGCTTTGCGAGGTTCCTTACTAAAGATGAACTTTGTTTGTTTCAAGCAGGGTTTCTCTTCTCTAAGTAGTCTTGGAGTCACTTTGTAGACCAGGCTGGCCTCAAACTCAGAGATCCCCCTGCCTCTACCTCACTGAGTGCTGGAATTACAGGTGTGTACCACCATGCCAGGCTTAAAGATTAAATTTGTAACAGGTATGGCTGGTCCTAAGAGAAGGCTCAGAGAACTGAATAGTTTGGTCAAGCAAGGACTCTGTTACTGTTTAAACATATACTATCAAATTTAAAAGAAGGTTAAAGAGTTCCAAGGAGAAATCCTGGAGAACAACTGATGAAAAGTGTGTGAGGAATAGCTTAGCCCTGCTCCTCAACCTATAAATTATAAAGCACATAATCTTTAACCATTCTTATGCCTCACTGCCTTTACTAGAAATCAGCTGACACCATCGATTTGTAACCTCAGTGTGTCTTTGCTTTGATTTACCTAAGATGCTTAAGAAGCAGCAAAAGTATAACCATCGATCTATTATTGATTGTTCTCACGCACCCCCTCTGCTCCCTGCAGCGGTAGTACCACTTGTTGAGAAAGGTGTGTGTAAACTGGGCATGGTGGTACAGACCTGTAATTGCAGTATTGGATCTCTGTGGGTTTAAGGCCAGCCAGGGCTACCCAGTGAAACTGTCACAAAGAAAATCACCCCAAACCAGGGTTTCTGTGGAGAGGAATTTTAATTCCGAACATGGCTGCTCTGGTAAGAGATCACATCCAAAGACCTTCTAGGTCTGTGTGATCTGGCTGGAATACAAACATGCCTTTAATCCAGGAGACAGAGGGAAACAGATCTGAGTTTCAGGACAGAGCAAGGTTCAGGTAAAGAGCAGCTTAGGTCCAGATATGGTGGGAGACGCCTTTAATCCTAAACAATGAAGGTAAAGTTAGTTTGTAGAAAGAAGCACCCATATTTGAAACTGATGGCTAATTGAGTGGCAGAAAAAAAAAAATGACCAATTGAAGAGAGATTTAACAGACTAGGATCTGCCCAACTCTCATGAGAAGAGAGGGGAAAGGGAAGCTAGTTGAGGGGCAATGCAGAGAAGAGGCAGTTTTTACCAGGATAGCAATGGAGAGATAGGTTGCAGAGAGAAAACTCAGGTGAAGACTGAATGAGCCAGAGAATGCGAAGGAGCCAGAAGATTAGAAGATTGCTGGAGTTAGTTTGAGGGCAAGCAAAGCAACTCAGAAGCTGAGGGAAGCCAGACTGAATAAGTCAGCTGGGAGAGGAGTCTGAGCCAGAACAGCTGAGTTGAACCAGCCAGCCTAGAGCTCAGAAAGAACAAGAAAGGGTGAACTTAATAAGCAGTAAGTCTCAGAGGCTGAAAAACATTCTAGGCCTAGGTTAGATTGTATGGGAGCTTCTAGCTTCCAGGACTATGCCTAGGTTAGCAGAAGGAGACAGTAAGCCTCCAAGAAAACAACTGAAGCAAGCAAGTAAAAGTTCTAGAGACAGGTGGCAGTGAAGACTGACAGGTCTGGGGACAGAGTCTCTCATGTAGCCCTGGCTGTCCTGGCACTCTCTACGCTGGTCTTGAACTCCCAGAGAGCCGCCTGTTTTTGCCTTCCTAGTGCTGGGATTAAAGTTGTGTACCACTTTTCACACCTTAATCCCTGGAAAATGATGGTCTGGATGTTCGTGCCTGGTTTATGTAGTGGATTTCTAGGGACCCCTTACCTCTGTGAAACTACTGTAGTTAACCTTATTTACCTTTCAAATACATAGATTATCTCTGTATGCATGTATTTTGTATATGTGTATATAGGTATATATATATGGAAATGGCTAAAACTATCTAGCTTTATTTTGATTTTTTGATTTTTCAAGACAGAGTGTAGCCTTGTCTGTCCTGGACTCACTTTGTAAACCAGGCTGACCTCGAACTCACAGAGATCCAACTGCTTCACCTCTTAGAGTGCTGGGATTTCAGGATTGCACCACTGCACCTGGCTGAGTTTTTAATTTTTAAACTTACTTTTATGTTTATGGATGTTTTACCTGCACATATGTTTGCACCACAAACATGCCTGGTGCCTATATCAATGTGATGATGATTGTGGTGATTATGAGCTGCCACATGGGTCCTCAGGAAGAGCACTTAACCACCGAGCTGTCTCTCCAGCTCCCTCTATTTTAGTTTTGATGTTCCTTTC